ATTTAAATTTATGGTGCTGCTGGTTTGTTTGGGGTTTTTTTGGGTTTTTTTTGTTTTTTTTTTTGCTTTAGATATAGGCCTTTTAACTTAAGACAAGCAAAAATTTAGTGAGGAAGATGTGTGGTGAATATTTTCCTACATCATAACAACGTTCTTGACACTTAAGTGATTTGATCCAGAAAATTCATTGGCCCTATGTTTTTGGACAACATGTCTGAGCTCTGAAGGATCCCTGTACCACTGCTTTGGTTTGATGTCACACCTACATTGTGACAGTGTAGACATCACAAGAAGTAAGATCTGCTTAAGTACTGTTTTTTACCACTATAGCTGATGGAACTGGAAAATTGAACAAGGAAGGCATAAAAACCTGCCCTTCCTTGTGAGACAGAGATATCCCAACAGATATTTATGAAGTCTTATCAAGCTTCATGAAGAAGCAGAATATATATAAACATCGACCTAAGAGGGATAACGAAGACAATTAAAGTCAGTCACATCTATGAGATGGAACTTCAGTAGAGTCCACATATTCACATGTTCTTGCTCTGTTTCCATACAGACAGTAACAAAATTATATTCCCATAGTACTTAGGATCTTTAGCACATGAACACCAAAAATCTAGGAAAAACCAGCTAATACTAAAGATTAGATCAGGAAGCAAGAGTTTTAGCCTCTGAAACCTCAAGGAATTTAGGAGCTCTAGAGCTCCTTAGCAAAAGGAAGAACAGATCCTATGAATATAAATAAGGAAAAATCTGTTACCTTTATATAATCAAATGAATCTCTAGCCCTGAGAATATGAGAATAAGACATCTGAGGTTTTTTTCAATATCCCTCTGTCACAGCACAGGAATCAACATTTCCTTTCTAACTGCAGATGCTTCAAAGGAAGACCAAAAAATTTTCTAAGCTAAGAAAAAGAAACTTCTTGGACCAAGAAGATTCTTGTTCTTAGATGATTAACTAAACACAAGCCAAAAGGATATCTGCAGTTTCTTAGTGATTTCAAGAAGTAGTTAGCATAGCTGTCCTTTTAAGACCACATTTTCACATAGGTTAGAGTTTTGCTGGTGTGTTTTCTTGGTGTAATACTATGTTACACATAGTTATATATATACATATTTATATATGTATATATAAATATATATATATATATATTTATATATATATACATATTTATATGTATATATAATTATATATATATATATGGTATACATATGACAGTAGTGGTATATCTTCATACATTTTTATCTTAAAGATACTCTGAGCTTATACTAGTAAATTAAACAATACCAGGGAATGTTTCTGGTTACAGGGACATGATCATCTGAAGTATTAAACTGTCAGAGCTATGGTGGCATGTTTGCAGTCATTGCTAATTATTACTCTTCTAAAGCCTTTCTGTGCATGTTCTTGCATCTAACACAGGCTGACTGTTTCCAAAAGTCATTTTACGTGTAACCACACTGGTTTGCACATTAAAAGGCTTGATATTGTTACCACAGACTCTTCTGTATCAGCTGGTCTCAGTGCTACAGAACAGTTCAAGATGTGTTAAATTTGCTAATTAAGACTTTGGCTTTAGCAAAATCCTTAGATCCTGGATACAGCTGATCTCATATGAAGGAAACCTCCTTTTCATCAAGAACACTTTGTTTCTAATTCCAGCCTGTTTTATCCAGCACATGGTAATGTTTCTGATGACTGCAATGATAAAATTCAGAGAAGAAAAAATGATATGAGATTTCAAAAATGAGATGATGAGGAAAGAATGAAAGAGCTAGGTTAATTTTATCTGTTTAAGGAGCATTCTAACTTATAAACTTCTAAATCTCTGTGTCAAAGGGAGAGAAAATGTTTTCTTCAGGGCCAGTGAAGTTAGGGCAAGAAGTAAGGGGCATACGTAACAGTGAGGGAGATTTAGATTAGATATTAGGAAGAGCAAAGTAAGTGGAAGGATTTTAGGGTCACAAAAAGAGGTCACTTAGATTGCTGAATGTTCACTCTTGCAAGTGTTTGAGAAAGGCTGCAGAAGATATTAGGAATTATTTAATTGATAAATGATAAAATGTTAGACAGAAACAATGAAAGCATTGAAGGTACTTTCTAACCCAATTTCATTAGAATTTCTGATCATGACAACTTCATATAAGAAAAAAAGTAGCAACTAAATATTTGGCACTTTCAGAGAATTTTATTTGGTTGGAAAACTACAATAAAATGCAAAATATATTACTATTATTTATTGATTGTCAGTATACTTTTGTTTCAGTATTGGGTCACCAGCTGATGAAGGAGGTAAAAAGAATGAAAAGCAATTTATTTAAATGAAATTCTATACTATATTATGGCACATATTCTAAATGTGAGCATTGACATTGATTTTCTTTAAGCATAACAATAATGATAGAGGGTTTTTTGCACTTCCACATAACACCAGATTTAAATGTGTTCTGTCCTAATTGTTCTAATTACTTTCAAGGTAATTCCTTTTCCACATCTTAATATTCTAGGAAAAGGTCTACTGTTTTGTTCCTATACTTTCTTCTCAGTTTCTTACTTCAGAAAGTCAAGGTAGAAATTCCACAGCTTCTAGCTTCTGATTTCCCTAATTCCACATTCAGTTAAACAGATTATTTACTACATAGTGTATGTCGTATTAGAGAAAGTGACCTTATTTACCCCCCACTCCCATCTAGATTTTTATTACATTGCACTAAATCTAGCATGGTTGTTTATAACAGCTGTTCCACTTTTCCTTTATTCAAGTATTGCAAGCTATAAAGTTTCATTCTAGGCTCTTAATGCAGTCAATCATTTACCTAATAAAATAAAGAAGACTAATGAATCTTCCCCATATAAAGCTTCATTTGACTGGATTTGACAATATAGCAGTATTGCTGAATGATGTGTGAACAAGCAACTGGAATACCTGGAGCCAGATACACTTAAGTAGCTCACGATAAGTTATATACAGGAAACGGATTGCAACAGTAGATGGATAAGCAAAAGGTTTTGCCTCAGGCTACCTCTGGGGCATTTGAAGTAATGTAATTCTGCCAGGACCAGCATGGTGAAGCATATATTGCAACATAAGCATCTCATAAAGTAGTTGTAGAGATTAAATGTCTACTAAAGGCTTAATTTTAATTGGAATTTGATTAGCCTGGAGGCATAAAATTATGTCTAATATATTTTTTCTTCTAACAGTTTAACAAATAGTTACAGAAAATACTTAATGAGAATTTCATTATAGTATTAAAACCCAGATAAATTTCTTAGTTTTCTCTTGCAATAAAAAATTAGAGAACCAAAATTTAAAAGTTAGTACAGAAAATTACTTTTAGTTCATTATCTCACAATTGATCGAAGCTGCACACTGAAGGTACTTATTCAATTGAATATTTCTGTATATATGCAGAATCTTTGCAAAACAAAACAGATGCATTTGAAAATATAAATGTCCAAGAGAATGTTCTCTTTTGTATGAAATGGCTGTATACATTTAATAGAAGAACACTGTTCATCTGACTAATGCCTTGAACAAATAAATATTAATTATTTAGAAAGAAGCCTGTCTTCCTTCTTGCCTTCCTTCCTGTCTTCCTTCCTGTCTTCCTTCCTGCTTTCCTACCTTCCTTCCTGCCTTCCTTCCTGCCTTCCTTCCTGCTTTCCTACCTTCCTTCCTGCCTTCCTTCCTGCCTTCCTGTCTTCCTTCTTTTTCCCCCACAAGTGGTAGTCTGAATCTCTTGTCTCAGGGGAAAAAATAGGTAGAAAACCACTTCTGTCTCCTCTGTAACGAATGAGCTGCAATGACCTTTGTGCCAGAGTAAACTGTACAGCTCTGTGCAGGCCGTTTTTTGTTTTGTTTTCTTCTGTGTTTTACATACACTAAATTATTAACATTTTAAAAGAATTCAATTAAAACTCAAGAATTAGCTTTATAAAATAAAAAATACTCTTTTTCATGTCAAGCTTAATACCAAGATAGCTCATTTAGCAATTTTCTCCATCATATATCTATAAGACTCTAGATACTTAGAAAGGCTCTATTTTACAGATATTTTTTCTGTGATAATATTAAACACAAAGATTACAAATCCTGTGGATGCAGAGGGATGTTCTCTATTCCTTCCACACAGGGAACCAGATCTACTTGATCTCTAGGAAGCTCTGCCTACTTGTGATTGCCATCCAGATCTAATCCATTCATTCCTGCAGGGCAATAAAAATACACTTATTTTTTTGGTTTTGAAAAGACATTTTCTATGCCTGCAGAGAGACCATAGCTTTTAGGCCAACTCCTGTCTTATCAACAGAAAGAAGAAAGAGAACAAAATTCACTCCTGGGTCTTGTTTTAGAGCAGTAACTATCTCTATGAAAATACACCACATTTCTTTTAGGAAGGAAGGGGCTTGATAAGTTAACTTTCATTAGTGGTTGATGTCTTTGTGCATCTGAAATATCAGTATAACCAAGACTATATTTTTGTGACAGCTTTCATCCCTGATTTTATTTGTACTGCTTTGTTTCAGACCTAAACTGGTTTCCTGAAGGGCACCACCTCATTCAGACAATCTGAAATCCAACTCAAGAGCACAAAAACTTTCTTCCAGAGTGGTATTGATAAATTCCTTCCTTATTTACTTGTTTGATTCTGGTGATTTTTGGTTTTGTTTGTTTGGTTGGTTAGTTTTTTGTTTGTTTGGTTGGTTTTTTGTTTGGTTCATTGTTTTTTGGGGAGGGTTTTTTTGGGTTTTTTGGGGGGGAGTGAGGTTTGGTTTTGTGGTTGTTTTTGTGCATGTATGTTTGGCTTTATTTCTAGATCTCCCTAAGTACACTGTCATATTTTAAGGCAAACATAGACTGTATACTTCCAGCATAGCTCCCCTGTAAGTTCACTTAACTTCCTTTCACACCTGTGCTGTCACTAATTGCTTGTTTACCTCCCTGGCTATAAACGTTTATAGTCTTCAATTACTCTGTGCACTAATTATCCTGAAGAGCTGGTTTGGGGCAAGGGAAGAAGTCACTGAGAAAATACATATTCTTGTTTTCTAGCATTAGATATATACAGTCTTCCTGTAACATTACAACAGTATATACTTTCTAGTTTTCTATAATTAATTAACAGAGCTAGTTGTTTTTGGTTTTTTTTAAAGTTAGTTGGGAAGGCATAGAAATTCAAATTATTATTTGGAAATGATAGGGATATATTTGCAAGGATGAAAGCTTAATCCCCTTATCATCCTATTCTCCATTTTAGTCCTAAGATGCATGTTATCTCTCATTATCTTTAGTATATCTTCATAATAATGTTTTCAGGGTTCTTTTACGCATTCCACCTCCATGAACTCATATGTTCTGTCTTTCTGGTGTACAATGTTATATAACTACATATTGTGGGGACTATTTTGAAATTTTCTTTCTAAAACATCAGTATCTGATTTTCCCTACCTGACCTCTAACACTATTTTTTGTTTCATTACTCTGAGAATTTTTTTTCATCTATTCATAGTTCCTAAAGTATTTATTAATTAATCTCCTTAATAATGCAACTGACTTTTTTGTTGATGCTTTATTCAAGTCAAGGTCAGTGTTTTTTCCTGGATAACTTTGTCTACAACTCATTTACTACTTTATTCTTCTCTTATACTAATAACACCAAAACAGTTCTTCTTCAACATTTCATTTAATTTTTCTTCCATGAAGTGTGTTTTTAGGCATTTCAGAACAAATCTGTGGGAACTTTCAGAAGGAGTGGAGGGGTACATAAGGTTATCATTCAAAAAAGAAATTTTCTGATGTTCCTTCCTCTTATTTTCTTTTTTTCTTCTGCATACCTATTGGGGTAGTGACCTCCTGTCCACCATGCAATCTCAGGCTTTGTTTTAGAACAGCTATTTCATTCCTTTGTTATATGTCACATAATTCTTTGTAAATGAAACTTGTCCCTTCAGGAGGGTGCATTTTCTCCATAGGTGTAATGAAATATTATAAATCTTTCTGCAGACAGAGGGCATATAGTAAATTAGTGTGATACTGACCAAAAATTAGTTCATGCATGTTTGGAAAAACATGAGCTCAATTATTAATTATAGTCATTAAAACACAAATCTACAATTACTGGAAGTAACAAACATAAATCAGATTAAAACCCACTGAAAATAATCAAACATTTAATATTCTCTTTCTCTATTTCTGTAAATTTCACCTCTCACAAGAATGTTTCTCTCCATCCTTCAAACTTGCCTGAATTGTTTTCAGAACAAAGCATCTCTGTTTTGCTAGAGTTCTTTATTATAGGGAAGGTTTTCAAATTTGTTCACATTATAAAACAAAAGAGGACTTGTGTAGTGTAGTTCCACTTCACAAGACAACAACACTAGCAAAAATGCTTACATTTTCCTTGGGTAGCCAAATCAACCACTAAGGAACTAGAAATATCTGAATCTATAGTCTTTTGAAGTCTTTCACTGTCAGAGAAACTAACCATCCATAACTCCATAGAGTCACTAGCTACTTAGGTATAGTATCATCTTACAATCAATTGCAAAATACATGCAAATAATGTGTTCCTATTGCTTTATATCATCTTGCATTTGTTTGAGGATGGAAACTGGAAGATATCGGAGTGCTTAATAGGGTTGAATCATATTAATTTTTCTCATTATTATTTATATGCAAACTTGACAAAAGAAATATTGTCATTTTTTAAAGAAGCACCCCAAGAATAAAACAACGACAAATATAATGTGTTATTCATATTTTTTCACATTGCTCTTCAGCTTCATTTCTATGAAGGAGAAAATGAGATAAGAGACCTTTGAAATAATCATCAGCTATACTCCTGATATACAATCCTGTATCATATGGGGCGGGTCATCTAGCTGAATAAAAAGGGTCAGTAATTCAGGTAAATACTACTCAGCACAAAACTGTGATGAAAAGAGTTCTATACGTCTTAGGAAATATTACTTTTTTTTCTGCAAATAAGAAAGTGACCATGAGAAAGCAAAACCAATTTACTGTTATCTTAACTACGTAAAAATAATAATTATAGTCTCCTACAACATTCTTGTTGCTAAATTGGAGAGATATAGGTTTCAGGGATGGACTGTCAGATGGACAGAAAATTGGCTGCATGGCCATGTCCAAAGAGTTATAGTCAAAGGCTCAATGTCCAAGTGGAAACCAGTAAAAAGTTATGTACTCAGGACTTTGTGTGGGAACCAATACTATTTAATGTATTCATCAATGACATGGACAGTGGGATTGAGTGCACCCTCAGGAGGTTTTCTGGCAACACCAAACTGAGTGGTAGAGTTGATTCCCTTCATGGAATGTGTCGTTCAGAGGGACCTTGGCAGGAATAAGCGGTGGGCTAGTGCAAACCTTGTACATTTCAACAAATTGCAAACAGCTGCATCATGTCCTGGCTGCCACAACACACTCTGTTTGCTCGCTCTGTTTGCTCATTCTTTTGCAGCCCTCCCTACAGCAGCCTTTGTGAGAGTCTTGGCACTCCCCAGGGGTTTCCCTGGCTCAGGAAACAGGATCTCCATCTCCGCTGTGGAATAGACCTGCTCCAGAGCTGACCATCTCAAATGATTTGTTGGGAATATCTGCAATGCAGATTATAGATTTCAATATTTTTCAGAAAAAAATGTATGTTAAATATAACATAAGTGTTATTGTTTAAATCCTTTTAAGTCCTTTCCTAAGAAACCCCACATGTTGTGCTTAGCAACTCAACAGCGTGGTACTTATAAAAACCAAGTGAATCCTTGAATGTAAAGTCCATCTGTATAACCATGCATCAGAGAAACAAAACCAGAAAATTTGCATACATCCTGTACTACAAACTATTTTTGAATGACTGGATGTGCCAATTACTGGTTTGAATAGATGACACTACTTCTGGTTTAAGCTTATCAGATCTGACAGTGTTGATCAAATTGTCACACAATACTTTTTAAATCTAAGACACAAAGATAAAAGTGAGAATGCTTGCTTTATCAGTTAATAAAAATACTCCTAGGGCTAAAGAAATAGCTGATAAATGTGACAATTTATTAGGAAATCCAACTGCTGATAATTCAAGGCCATGGAAGTTGACTTCAGTTTGTAAGCAATATGAAAAGTACATGTGCTTTACAAAAAAAAAGCACAACAACCCCCCCAATTATTTGTTTATATATACGAAAGATAGCTTTCATTTATTATTAAACAGTGGTTTGGAAATAAATGGTCTCATTTTCTCTCTTCTGTGTTCCAAAATGGCTGCAATTGATTATGCCTAAAATTTATAACATTGCTGGGTATATTTGGTGCATCAATAGGAAGAGAAAGTTAGTGATCAATTTATTAAACTAGGAACAAAAATGAGAATATTCTGTGTTCTCAGTGAATAAAACAGCACAAGATATACAAATCTATAGCATCAGGCAAGGAGTTCTGTTGTTATTATATCACTGCTGTTATTTCTTTTGCTGCTCTTTTACTCGCATCATCCCCCTTGAGTCCCAGAGTCTTCATGGTTCATTTTCTATTGATTCTCAATACTAAGAATTGGAAAGATGAAGAAATATTCAGAAGTGAGCAACAAGTAGTCAGCAGTAAATAAATTCTTTATGATGTAAGTAACTTGAAAAGATTTATGACAATGTGCTTTATATTATATTAGAATTCTTCATTTAGCTCTGCCTTGAGTTCCATTTCATATATTTTACAAGGCTTGCAGTTTATCTGTTCATATCAGTAGACCTTTTTATTTAATTTTCTCAGACACTTTGACATTTAATAGGACTGAATAATGAGAGCTTCCCACAATGAATATCCTGTGGTTATTTATGTTCTCAGTAAACATAGAGTTTTTAGCTGTTAAAGTAGTCTTTGAAGCACACGTAAAGTGCATGACAGGCATCCACAGTTTTGGCTTTCTTCCCTTTTTTCAGATCTAAATCCCAAGGGGACCGCTTTTCTTATAAGAACAGATAAAACCCATGCTCAGACGGATTTTTGAGAATTGCAATGCAATGTTAACACTTCTGAAACATTCTTAATCAATTTTAAATGTGTAAAAATCTCACGAAATTGCCATTGACGTAATAAAGTCTTCTTCATTTCTGATTTTCTCAAAGCATTGTTCCACACAGCTAGTAAATAGTCAACAAGAACAAACATCTGTAGTGACCCAAACATCTGTAATAGCAAATCAATAAAACCTTCAATTTAGTTTTATCTAGAACAGTAGGACATTCATTTAACAGCAATAATTTAGAGCAGAAGCTTTACCGTAGCAAATATTTGGTAATGTATATACATGTGCACAGGCACACATAAATATATGGAGAAATACATGTATATATACAGATACCAGTTTTTATATAAATGTAACATACAAAAGTCTTTAATAGTCAAAATAATTAAGTTTTAGCCCCAAAAGATGGCTAAGCAGATCCAACTTAGCTGATATATAGGAGTCTACTAAGCACAGTAAAAGCTTTCAGACAATGCCATATCATAATTGCGGGTATGATCAGCTCACCAAAGGCCATTTAAAGTGTCTGTATTAATGAGAGGTCTGTGTTGCAACATACTGGTGTGGATGTTTTTACAGAAAAAATAGTATGTGACAATGCATAATGTAATGAAATAAGTGGGACAACTTTAGTGTAATGTTAAGCAGAGAGGGAGGTAAATCCAGCACAGTGTAATTCATGCTGCCTATTAAGAGAGATCTCTAAAGTTGCTGTTTCTCAGAACTTTACCTCAGATTAATTTTGAAGGAATGAGTTGTCTTACTCTAAAAGACACAGCAAATGCACTAAAATTTGTCTGACATAAATGATCATGGGATCAGGACGAAGGAGTCTTGTGGACGATAGGTTTAAAAATACAGACAAGTCCCAAGTATCTCAGGAAAAAAAAAGAAAAAAGAAAGAAAAAAAGGCTTCTGGACTGCCTTAATTATTTCCATCAAGATTTCGAAAGTAGTTTATTCTCCTAGAAACAACTTCAAAGTTGAAAAGGATCTATGTGATGCAAAATGGGAGGAGCATATTATCCCAGTTAGGGAAAGAAAGAAAAGAACAATAAGTAGATGTCAGAGACAAGTTTATTCTTCCACGTGAGAGCACTTTTCTTCTAGTATTTGCCTGTTGATTTTAACACTTCTCAAGTTATCAAAAAATTTTGAGAAGTGTTCTAATTCATGAAGAAATATCCTTTGTCCTCCTTCTAGGTATTTTGCCACTAGACCACCAGAGGCTCACCGCTGCGACCCGGGTTCGATTCCCAGCCCGCCGGGCAGATGGAGCTCGTCAGCCCTGTAAGGCAATCCATCTAAGAGAAGGTCACTCTAAACAAACCTACGTCCTGGGGACCTCACTGCCACTGTCCAAGCTTGCTCGGCCCTGGCAGACGAACCTCAGGATTAAAGGGTGGGCTCAGTTCAGCGCACGCTGTGTCTCACCTAAAAAATCCACTGCGCAGGCTCAAAGGGTTAATGACCTTTCCCAAATCTTCGCTAGCGAAGACTGGCCATTAGGTATTTTGCAATAAGTATGTAATTTTCCCTAATTTAATGTTTAATGAATGACACCTGGACATATAATTTAAAGGTACAGAGTGTCTACATAGAAGAAATGATCCACAACTGTCCATAGGAAATTATAATTATCCTGGTTTCAACTGGTATAGTCTTAATTTCTTCTCAGTTGCTGGTACAGTACTGTGTCTTAGATTCAGTATGAGAATAATGTCAATAACATACTGATGTTTGGTGGGTACTAAGTAGCATTTATCCTAAGTCAAAGACTTTTTTTTTTGTCTCATGATCTACCAGTGAGGAGATACGCAAAAAGTTGTGAGAAAGCCGGGATGAGTTGCTCAAACTGGCCCAAGTTTGAGTTCCACACCATGGAACATCATGCTCAGTACGTAAGCTGGGAGAGTTACCAGGAAGAGGGGTCCAACTGGGGTTTGGGGACAGGATCTGGCATTGGTCAGTGGGTGGTGAGCAAAATGCATCACTTGGTTTTCCTTGGTTTTTTTTTCTTTTATTATCATTGTCATTATTTACTATCATTATTATATTTTTTTTGTTTCAATTATTAAATTGTTTTTATCTCAACCTACAAGTTTAATATTTGATTCTCCTCCCCATTTCACCGGAGTGAGGGGAGTGAGTGAGCAGCTGTATGGTGCCTTGTTGCCAGCTGGGCTTAAATCACAACAGTCATTATAGTAGAGAAACACTTACAAAACTTGTTGAGTGACTCAAAACCAGTTTCTCCTCCCCAATGGAAATAGCAGCACTCTGGTCAAGTGTCCTGTGATTTCCAGAGGAAACAGAGATTATATCAGAGACAAATCTTTCAAACAGCAGCTATTGGATGAAAGAAGTAACTGTGAGCCTTTACTCCTAGTCAGAAAAGACAAACACTGTGATATTCTTGTGTCAAGTAGAGACTAATGCTCAATTTGTGCAGTTAAATTACTTTTTAATTTTTTTAAAGCAGAGCAAGAACTTAAATGGACTGTTTCCATTTACTATTGATTAAGTTTTGCTATTCAAATACCATTTAATGCTTTTCTCACTAAAATGTGTTTTCACAGAGGAAAGATACTATTTATCACATGTAAGGTTAATAGAATCTATACTTATGCCAGATGAAAAATAGTCGAGCTGAAAAGTTAGGTTTCTGAACTCATTTAGTGCTGGTACCTACTTCTCCAAAATCATCTGGTACTCTATAAGTTTCTCTTTGAGATTTTGAATTTAATTGTGTGTGTGTATTCAAAAGGTAATTATGCAACTACCTGATTAAAAGTTCACTCACATAATCATTAAAAGTGTCTTTTGGTGACAGTTGCAGTGTGTCAGGCTCAGAACTGAATGATTATCACCTGCTGATTGTAGAAGTGAATGTCTATAATGGGAGTAATTTTAAAGCAGCACTTATAAACTAATACTGTTCCTACATTACAGTGATTATTTTGTTGTGTCAGATACCTATTTGAGAAGAAAGAATTATTTCCAAATTCATTTACTTATTGACAGACATAGCATTAGAAGGTAAAGAATCAGAGTATTTTATACAGTGCAAAATATTATGTGTCCATAAGGGTATGGTCAAATTAAGCACTCTTAGAAACAGACGAGGAGCGTTAAGGATCTTTAAGATAGCGTTCTTTTTAAAATTTTAAAAACAGAGAGAAAGCAAGTTACTTAAAATGGTGTCGTATATACATTATTATATGACTGTACAACAAAAATAAAACCAGTTTCTAATATTAACCAAAATAGTTTTAGAATATTTAGGCTTTTATAATTTTAGATAAAAGTTGTTTTGGCCCTGACCAGATGTTTTCCCATTTCTTTAACAAGGATTGAGAGCTTCTGTGTCTTTGGGGTTTTTTTTGTTTTGTTTGTTTATTGGGGTTTGTTTTGTTTTGGGTCTTTTTGCCAGAGGAGTGAATAACTTAGTTTTGGTCCATTCTTACACTTACATATTAAAATTCAGATTTTTCATGAGTTTTGAACATATTCAAATGCCATTATTTTTAGCTGAAAAGAAATTAAGATTTGTTTGAAAGGAGAAAAGAGGTCAGGAATGAGGTTTGTACCAGTAAAATTTACATTAGGACTATTAAAATTATATCTGAATTAATATCTAAAATCCCTCTAACATAAGGAGATAAAAATGCATTTCCATTGTTGTTTTTCATTTCTGAACAGCAAAGATATATTAGCAATCTCATAAATGACTGCATTATTAGCAATCTCACATTGCAAGAACACAGAAAGCCTAATTGATATCTGGTCAATAGAAAGTTTCCCTTTGCTGGAAGTCATAGAAAGATTCTCTTGCTGAAGATTAGAACCTCTTAGTGCTGAAGCTATTTAATTAATACAGGTAATTGGAATTTGGCATTTACTGAAATGCTGTAAAAAGGAAACAAATTATTTGTGCTTCTTGTTTTGTTTTATTTTACTACTTCTCCAGAACCATAAGAACAAGATGGTTTTGAGACAGTTTGCAACAGAGTACCATAAAATGCTACTTCTCAGGTCTTAATCTTGATTCATTCATACCTTCTTAAATCAGAAATAGTTCTATGGAAATCAATTTATTTGTACTAAATTTATCCAACTAACATAAAATCTGTCAAGAAGAAATGTTTGGTTTTGTTCAGTTTGGTCTGGTTTTATGTGTGAATATAGCAGCTGCTATGGTAGACATATTGTAACAGGACCCTTCCCTGGTTTTGGGGGATTGGTGTTTTTTATTCCTGTGAGCACTCTGCATGGCTCTCGATAGCTATTTATATCAGCCTATGGAGGCTATTTTTCCATATTTCTCCACCTGATGATATATTCACTTTGAATGAAATAGAAATAATATAAAGGAAGAAGAATAGAAAAGTCTTAGTAATTTCACCACTATGAGCACTTCTTTTCCTAAATTAAGCATGTAATTATCAAACTCTGTCTATATTGTCATATGGTTTAACCTTTATGAAACTAATTAGGTTGAAGCTTAAAATTACTTGCTGTCTAATTTGATGAAACAGCTGCAATTTTTTCCTTTCAAGGAGAAGCTGGGGGGAAATGTAGGTAACTGAGTTGAAAAGCTATTATCAATAGCACAGAACACAAATAGCTATTAGAAAAGGTTCAGGAATTGAGGTGACCTACATAAAACAACTTTTTGGGCGAACTGGGCAAGCATATTGTACTATGGAAAAACAAAGGAAAAAATTAGATACTACATATTTATTTTGATGTCCCAGTGTTCTCACACTATTTATCCCATGAGATTTACAAAAGTTTTAATTAAGAGAATGATGACACATACTTACCTTTCACAGCAGCTGTGAAAGTCTAGTGCATCTCACTTGGTCATTCTGACCAATTTTGCTCAGACTACAACAAATTCCCCAATATGTAGTCATCTTTTCTAGTATATAATTAAATGCATTAAATAACTTAGGGAGTGAACTCCCAAAAATACTTAATAAAAGCATGTCGCAGAAGAACTGACTCCTTTAGTCTAATAAACATTCTAGCAATAAGTCTGAACATACTGACTCTCATATCAGGGTAGGCTCTTTGAAGACATGCATCCACAGTTGCTGATCAAGCTTCACTAAGACAGTCTTTCTGGTTTATTCTGTAGTGATAAGGAATATTCACAGACACTACATTTTGAAGATGATTAGAATATAAAACACTGTGATTTTACAACTCAGCACTCAGCTGAGATCCATAATTGTATGTTTTTACTAGTTTTGAACAGTCAAGAACCAATTGCACCTGAAATCATTCTTTTATAAAAACTAGCATTTTCAGAATATGCCAACAAGGAAGAAGAGGAAAGAATCACTTTTAAAGTGCTGGCATTTCTTACCAATGCATTTCATGGCCCAAGGCAGTGGCCTACTGAATCCCTCATGCTCTGCACACAGTGGGTTCCAATCCCGTCCTTGGTGAGAAGGAGGGTTTATGACCCTGAGATTGGCTCAGTGGGTTAGAGCATGGTGCTGACAACACCAAGGTCATGATTTTGATCCCTATATGGGCCAATCACTTAACAGTTGGACTCAATGATCCTTGTGGGTCCCTTCTAACTCCGAATATTCTGTGATTCTGTGAAATGTCTCTATCTAGAGACCAACTTCCTGCATATATGCAAGGGATAGGTCCGGTTCCATGTGAAGTCTGGATCTCTACATCCACCCAGCCAAGGAGGTCTACAGGAATTAGGAATAGGCAGACGGAGCACATCCAGGTTAGAAAATGCTCTGCATTCACGAACCCATTAGATTTATTTACAAAGTAGCATTCATGCCCCACATCCTGCTGGCAAGGTGTGCTGCAGCATTCTTTCTCTGCGTAATTAACCACCACCTCTGTCAAGAATTTCCTGAAGCAGGACATTACTACATAGTCAGATAGATTTATCTCCTTCTGTGTGTGAAACTTAGGAATGCATATTGATATAACTTAAAAAAAAAAAAGCTCCTCTTTACCCCCCCAAAAAAAATAGAAACAGACTTAAATATTATCATGTATTTACATGCTGCTAAGTAAATCAATAAGCAGATAATATCCGCCTTTCAACCAAAATTAGACTTTCCCTCTACAAGTTTTCTCATTTTTAAACAGATGACAACCACAAAACCTAGAAAACTACAGAAAAAGTTCCTGTTTAATCTTTAGTACTGTGGATGGGGTATGTAAGATTCTTGTTACTACATAGAAACAGATAAAATACATGTACACGT